TTGTTCAGAACCACTCTAGTCTTATAGGACTTGTGGTTTAGCTCCCCTCAAACTTATTGACTCACCTGTGTTCTTCTCTAGACACATTATAGGAGTTTCAATACATTGAGTCTACAGTGTTCTCACAGTTACTACAGCTAGGAATCTGGTTCTGTTTTTTTTACTAGTATAACAACCTGTCCAAATTTGTTTATGTTTTGCTTTGTGTTTTGTTTCTTTATTTTTGTAAAGTCTCTGTTATTTATTCCTGCTGCCAGCCTCAATCTCAGATGTACTGAGATTGCTTATTTATACACTGGTGCTGTGTACAATGTTATACATTATACTAGATGCTTGCTGTATTTATTCTTGCTGCATTTGTGTTGCTACCATTCTTTATTTATCAATCTGCTTGTTTGATTGAATTGCTAGTTGAAATATTTATACTAGTCAATAGATATATGTGTGTATAAAGTATGATTATACACCATACATCATCATAGTTCTCTGCATGTAATTTTACTCCTATGAATTGAGAGTTCAAGGACTATATATGATACACAAATGCTGTATACACTGTATACTTTATAACTATATTGTATATACAAAATACCCCTCTAATAAACTAAAATTTCTAAAAAGTAGATGTTTGGTATTGCTGAAGCTAAACAATGAGTTGTAGAATATATTATAGTATAGAAATTATGAAATACTAGGAGTGTATGCTAATAATGATTAGTCATCGTTGTAAAGAGACACCATGTATAACAAAAATACCACAAAAAATGATCAATACTTGAAACGCGTTCTTAGGCAATATTTTTCCCTGTCTCCCCTCCGCCACTCATCTCTACATACTTATGCGAAGAGAAAAATCTGAACGCGAATATCGTGAAAAAAAAACTTGCATACGTCGTGATACAGAATACACGAAACAATCGAACGAGACGAACAAACAAATGCTGAGAAGAGGCTACAAATTCAGTTATATTACCGCCATCCACCTATGCCGCCAAAGCAAAGAAAACGCCTCAGCAAACCGTCCGACATCCTCATCACCACTCGCATAATACTTGAGCTCGCACTCAAGGCACACCCGCGTCGCTCGACTTTTCGTCTGCATATTCCGCCTTTGCCGACTTCTTGACATCCTCAAGAGTCTTGAGACCGACAGTGGGTTTGATCTTCCAAGCGGTGAAGAGGTGTCCCTGGGCGAAAACGTCCTCGATTTCCTCGAGTGTGCGACCCTTTGTCTCAGGGTACATGAAAAGAATGTGGATAAATGCGGCAAAGTTGAACGTCTGCTCGACGAGATTGTGAGTGAACTGGCTCAGTGCCTCATAGGGAAAGTGATAGTGTACTCACCCCAAAGATGAAGTAAGTCTTATACGCAATGGTGCTCAACCCAGGTGGGACCGCCCATGCGAGCGCAAAGTTAAATATCCAACATGAAGCTGTACTCAAACTGACTGCCTTCGCGCGGACACGCATCGGGAAGATCTCAGCCGGATACGTCCAACTCACAGGGCCCATAGTAATTGCGAAAGAGCAGACGAAGAGATACGAGCAGACAATGATACCACGAGTTGCAGCTTCATGTCCACTGATAACCCAAGTACGCGAGCCATCGACGTCGCCCCAGGCACCGAAGCGTCCCTGCAAGCCGCCAACAAGCATCAAGAAGAAGCCCATCAGTGCTGTTCCTACGAGAAGCATTGGACGTCGACCCCACTTGTCGATGTAGACGATGGCGGGAACTGTAAATGTCGCAAATTGGTCAGCAAAGAATCTGAATACAATGACATGTGCGTACTTGTGAATAAGACGTTCAGGACGTATTGCACAGAACTTGCGATGAGATCGCCGCGTTTACCGCTTAGACCTGCACCTTGGAAGACGTAGACAATGTAGTACATCATGATGTTCATACCGGACAGTTGACTGGAAATAATCCAACACTTAATAAACCTTGGGAAGATTAGAGATCGAAAGAATACGTGCCTCCACATCTGTATGCTTGCACCCAGCATGACACGACGCATAACACCTGGTCTGAGTAGATCCAAGTAGCTCTTTGCACCTTCCGTCCTCTCAAAGTACACCTGTTGCCTAATTTCCTCATATTCCAGCTGAACGAGAGGGTGATCCTTATCACCATTTCCGTGCAGGTCCGCTAAAATCTGTAACGCTTCATCTTCACGGCTGTGATCTATCAACCAACGAGGACTCTCCGGGAACCATAACATGCCAATCGCTAGGACGATGGCAGGAATCATCTGCAGACCCCATGGAATGCGGAAGGACGCTACACCCTCAATGTACGAGCATCCGAATTGGATAAAATACTGGATTAGAATACCCCAGGTGATCGACCATTGCTGCAAAGAAATCATGCGTCCTCGAACAGCGGGAGCGGTAATCTTTAGTATAAAATAAGACCTTCAAAGGTTAAGGATCGAGACTTGATAAAAATCTTTACCTCGGCCTGGTATAACGGAACGGTAGTGGAAGCGAAACCGATGGAGAGACCAGAAACGATACGGCCGACAACAAGCATACCGCGGTTCTGCACACAATAAAATTTGTCGGAGAGATTTCGAAGCCGAACCACAACAAGTAGAGGAAAACCTACCACTGAAGCACATTGAAGTATACTACCAATCACCCAAAGAATACCGGAGAGAATAATCGTGAGCTTCCGGCCTACTAGATCGGCTAGCTTCGTTACCACGAGTGCCCCAACGAAGGACCCCGCAGGCATGGAGGCGACGATAGCACCTTGAGGATTGGATGCAGGCTGTCAGGAGGTAAAACTATCAGCTTGGAGTTAGCGAAATGCAGGCAATATATCGTACATGATCGAATACGCGAAGGTATGCGGGATTCTATTGAATGAAGTGTCAGAAAATGGTCCACCACTTCACATCATTACTATCACTCACAGTCAATACTCCGGACATGGACGATATGTCCAGTCCAAAGAGACCACCGCCGATACATGCGAACGACCCAACGATGAACTGCACCAAGAATGCTCAGCATGCTAACTTGATCGTATTATACGATATTCAACCCACCGAGTTCGACGCAATGCGCGAGCTGTACTGCAAACAGACCACAACACATGAGTGTCTTGCCAAAAATATGTATTTGTAACGGAAGACGCTTACACCTTTGCCCGTACCCATCGTGCTTTATTGGCGGGACTATTCTTGCGCAACGTACAGCAGGGAGGCGGCGATGCACACAGAAGGCACGGCGAGGAACAGTTCCTTCTGCGGCGTCTATTCTTAAGCTCCTGTGGGTTTTATACCTGGGGCTGATTTCGGTAAGCTGCAGCCGAGACGAGAAGTGGTGATCTCCGTGCAATGCATGAAAGTTCAATCACGATTGTATTTGTTCTATTCTGAATTCCACGGACCGTACGGAGCACGCGCTGATTGTGTTCAATTTGTTGACCGTTTGACGCAGTCGGCGACTGCATCTGGTACGGACGAGAGAGTCTCACATGTTCCATCGAGGAAACTGTATGCCTCAGACCAGCAATAGGCATACAGGTGGTTGCGGAAATAATCGAGGTTGTGCCTGCCTGGAGGACAAATGGTTGGTCATGCTTGGAGCACAAAAGATACCGTCTCCTACCGCTTTTGAATACGCGCGTAACACATGACCATTGATCCGTTCTTGTACCGCCCATCCATGTGCTGCAATAAATTCAGCTTTGGCGATGTGTTCGTAATCCCGTTCTCCGGCCTACTAAGGCATTCCGCAAGCCCGACAAGCAAAGAAATCTTGTACGTCTCTGACTCTGAAACTCAGTAGTAGTGTTAGACCCGTATCCGCGTCCGAGGCAGCGTTTCTGCTCGGTTCCATTCCACGATATGAAAGTCCATTGCAAAAGAGTGGTGCATTGGTCGTTAAAATAACCTTGAGCATATATCGGAAAACTGACGGGAGAACACTTTCGATTCGTAGCTGATGGATTGAAGGTGATTTGTCTACCTCATGGCGGGACATGTTATTCCCTTGTCGTCGCTGTTCGTATATATTAAAGCATTTGTGATTCTCCATACATTAGTTGAGGCAGCATCTCAAGGTACAAAGTCTGTAGACAAGGCGATAAGCGTGACATAGGGAGGAAACCTGCCAATCGGGCATCATTCTAAGTCTATTCAATAATCAATGACTCCAGGAAAGCTTTCCCATTTTGTCCATTCCTCTTGCTTTTTTTGCTCCTCTCGAATACTATACTGGGCTTCTGCATTACATTTTCAAACTCAGGGAACAACTTGCCCGATCCTCTCCCTCCCGTCCATACCTCCTCACCTCATCTCCCTCAGGGTAATGTTCAAACGTACTAGCATCTTCATCTCCATCAATCCTCGGTATATACGGCGCACCGATCTCCCTCGCTCTCAACTTCGCCCAATCTACTTCTCGGAACCATGCATGTGCAAATACATCTCCTGCACCGTGTTGCAGGTTCCCGTAGCGTTGTGAAGGATCGGGTTCCGTTAGTTTGCACATGATCCTTGGCGTCGGAGGACAAAGCAAGTCAGTGAATATGAGCGGGACCCGCTGTGATACGTTCGTATAACAATACGGGGTTCGGTACAGGTTGATGGCAAGACGGCAGCCTACTAAGCACTTCGAAAATTAATACACCCAAGACATACCAATTCACATTATTATTAAACCGCTGCTAATCAACAACCTCAGAATCAAGGTAATTCAGCCTGCTACATAACGTCCAAGTCATGTTAGGATAGAACTTCGCGAACTCATAGGCTACGATGCCCGCCGTGATTTGAGGTCTCAGTAGATGTGTATTTAGTGGAGGTGGTTGAGCGCGAGTGCCACTTCGGCGTCATAGAACTTTGCGACTGGGTCTGGGAAGCGCCGTGTTTAATGCTATTTAAATATGAGAATCATTGTTCATTTATTCATAAAAGTGCAAAATGCACAATGGATCGAGATGACGAAGGTAATGAAAACAGACATACGTTTAATCATCTCAGGGGTGTAAACAGGTCCCAACCCGGGTCGAATTCCATATCCATGTATAATTCCGTGCACGTTGGAAAGTGCCTCATAAGTTGACGATAAACGAGTGTATACATAGATCAAGCAGCTCGCGCTCGTTATTCATATGTTGTACTTGTTGCGTTCTCACTGCCCTATCCTCGTTGAGAACCTTTGTCGCGTGAAATCGTAAGTTGTATTTACTCAGCACTGTCATTCAGCGAAAATAAGAATCAAAAATAAAGATTTAAAAAAAAATTAGTAAAGGATAAGAGGAAAATGGACAGAAGGTCCACCAAGATGAACGCGACTAAGACTGCCAGTGCCCACAGGACACATCGGAGAAAAGTCGTTTAGTCTATATGCCTTCCCTTCGAACGCTACCTAGTGGGAGGTCGGTCTTCATCTCCTCCAACAGAGTCCTACTCTACACAGACACCACCACCGATGCTGCATTCAGTACGTTGCATCTTATCGTCTTCGTGCCAGACGTCAGAGCGCTGGCCAACAGCGTTGGAGGCTGTAACAGTGGAGATAGAATCGCATTCACTAGTACTGAGGCATGTTGTGCCGGAGGAAGGCCCACCTGAGGTTACTGGAGACGCAGGTAAGTCATTGTCTTGCCTGGCCATAGACTGATGGAGAGGCTGTTCTTGTGAGGTTGCTGTGACAGAAGAGAGGATGCGGCCTGCGCAAGGTGACCGTCCGGTATTGTTGTTAATGGGAAAGTTGTCTAGGAGGCATTGGTCGTCACACAGGAGAGAGAACACTTAGATGGACAGACCACGGAGCAGTACTGTGTGATGGATCCGGCGGATGTTGTCATGTTGAAAATAGTTGCGTTTGGCCATTTGCTGACATAATCAGTTATTTACCTTGTTTCTATTCTTTCATTCTTGCTTAATGATGCTCCCACTGTCTGCTTCACATATTGCATCCAGTTCCGACTAAATCCTGGCTTTCAGTAAGCTTTACAAGATGCAAGGATACATAGAGACTTATCTGAATTAGAAATAAGAGGTTCTTCAATGGACGACAAATCATCCAAAGTTGAAGCATACATTCATAGACAGCCAATGCAGGCAGCAAGTTGTTCTGGTATGCTTGGGCCAGCCTTCTACTTGAGGCTCTGAATCAGTATCAGCAAAGTTTTACTAGGACTCGGAGCTACCTTGATGAAACGAGCTTCATGATGATTATCAAAGTCGGACCTCTTGTGAGTCTTGTCTTCAAGTACAATGTACACTCTGTTGTACATTGTTCCCGTCCGAGAATTATCTATATCTCCTAATGCCGGATTCTTCCGGAGAGAAGGACTGATTTTTCTTCCACACTGTGTAGCTATTCAGATCGGCTTAGAAGAATGCCCGAAAAAGCTTCACCACGATCTGACCACAATGATCCAATACTACACGTCAGATGAAGCATACATGGGATTTTGAATCATCATGTAAGTCCATGCCTCATAAATAGGGCAGATCTTTCTCGCTTAGTACACTATATTGACATGGCAAACCAGACACATGTCTATGGAGGTGCCTCCATTTTTCACGCTCGTACCAGTGATGTGGACATCGATCCAAGTTTAAAGTCGATGATCTTCTCAGAAGCTATCACAGAAGGGTACTTTTATATAGCCACGCTAACTCTCTTGGTATATAATGCTCGTGAGTGATATGATCTTCCGAAGCAGGCTATCATTGACAGATATGACAATCATAGTTACAACTATGGACAAGGAGGTACAGTGATAATGCAGGTGTTCTTGATTGCCCACTAACTGCGTATCTTCAGGTCAAATATTTTTGGGTGAGCTCAGTGCCTAATTGTGTAGTTCTATGCCTCAATGGAAACGATGAAGATCAAGCCGCTCAGTTTGACTAGTCTGACTTATTTCGCGGTGAGAGCCGTCAAGCTATTGTTGTGGAGATCCTTATTCTAATTGGGAAGATATAGATTCATTACATTGGAATCCTCGGACAGATTTGTACTATATACTGTAAGTAAATGTGGTACAAAAGTGATGTGGTAACTCACCCAAAATAAACGGCTAATGCATCACAAAAACAAACACGAAAATGTATTGGAATATATTGCTAAGACATATATTTTTTGTATATTGTGGGTCCTCATATTCGATTGTATTGTCTACATGTACATATATTGCCTTGTCGGACTCTGCACAAAAGTGCGATGCATGGATTATATTCTAGTTGCAAGCTTTCACGTAAATCAATTGAGGTAGGAAAGAAAGGGCATCGTCAAAGCGTATGTTGACTGACAAACCGAATGTATTTTACTTGCAGCTGTACGTTACACTTCCGGACTAGTAACGCACGATTCTTACTGACAGTTAGGTACAATACCTGACTGGACGGGCAGCATATGTAGTAAGTGACCTAGAGCAATAAGGTATCGCAGCACTTAATCCTCCTTTTAGACTTGATCACAATCGCGCTTATAGATTGTAAGAAGCATTTCTAATTTATGCGAGAGGTGAATAAATGTGCATATTCCTAGATATTCTTCAACTCCGAGTGTTGGCGCTCTATCATCACAGTAAGTGTCCTGTACTTAGGGAAAGGACTTCGGAACTGAGTTCATGGCAGACAAGAGGCTTTCGATCGCCCTCAAGACTCTTCTTGGTACAGAAGTAGTAATCGTCCTCGGTATACTTATTCGTGGAAACTTGCTTCAAGGCTGTAAGTCCATCCATAGACCTTGGCTTAAATAACGAATAAACTAAGGAACCATATGGATAAGTTTTTGTTGGGCGCCTTTCACAGGAGATCCATGTTTGTCTCAGTTTTAATGATTCTCAGAGAACACTGGTTATCATGTCATGGTACACAATTCCGCTGTATGTTCTTAGCTGGGACTAATCTGAAATATAGGGTCGTGCCTCTGACATATGGAACGATTCTTCTATGTCTGGTTCTATTCAAGAGTGCAGAATACTGGAGAATGTCATCTAAATTCAAAGGATTCCACCTTGTCAGAGTCCTTGTTCAAGACCAGGTCATATATTACAGCTTGTAAGTCATGATCTTGTACTGAACAATTCTAAACTAACGTATGTAGTGTAATATTTTGTTGTGCTATGAGGATTATCGAACTTACAATCTTGGATATCAACCGAGTCGTTGCACATGCCGCCGGAAACCCATATCTCCTCTGTATCCTCGGAGGTCACCTTCTAATCAATCTGAAGGAGGCAGGCGAGTTGGGAATGAACGGAGGAACCAATTACAGATCGGGCACTAGCACTATAAGCGACATTGACTTCGCTCAAGGTGCATAGACTCTTTCTTGTCTCCATCCAACCCGGTTGACGTGTTCCAGGCCCTCCAGCAGCAGTCTCAAACAGTGAATGCAGCGTCCCAGGTGCATCCAGCGTTTGACAATGCGAATCTATCGAGACCGCCTCTCCCTCTCAGTAACGGCTAGAAACAGCCATTTGGTTTCGTTTTATACCAGTATGATACCCTCTCCAGATTTATTTGCGTTTTGCTTTGTGCTTTGGTTGGTTATTTTGTAACTCGTCTACTATTTGTTCTCGCTGCTAGCCTTGGTCTCGAATGTCTTGACATTGGTTATTTATTCATTCTGGCACTGCATTCAACGCAGTGCATTATACCAAGTGATTGTTGTATTTATTTACTGGTTTGATTGGTTATCCAGTTAAGGGCGCTACTGTGGCATACAACGCAGTTGTGCATTATACCAAGTATTTACTGTATTTATTCTTGACATATGTACATTGCTGTTCCCTATTTATTGATTTTATGCATGCATATGGTGCAATGTACAATATACAGTCCTTCTACCTAAATACCTGAGTTCGCTATTTCTATTGCAACAGATAATAGCATATATTATCCAAGGCCGAATGATGAGGTGAACACATGTATGAGATCATCCAAATCTAAATAAGATACAGTCAATCACTGCTCCTTTGAACACTACTGTTCCTTTGAACACTACTGTTCCTTTGAACACCCCCCCTTATCTCTACAACAACACAATTTAAAACTTAAAAAAATATTATTATATAGAATTATACTTGTACTATATGTATGTGAGATTTGAAGCAAAAATATTAAGTATTTATGTGTACAGAAAATAAAAACCAGCAAAAATGAGTGAATTCAAATTATATGACTATAAACAACTTTTCTTATAGGTACTTCTGCTCAATAACTCAAACCGAAAATTACATATTTATATTCTTCTGTATTAGAGCTACAATTTGCATGTTTTATTATAAATATTGAGTCTGTATTTAAATTGTTATTAAACATTTTGTAAAGACTACTGAAACTCCTGTGAAGCATCTATGAGAAGAACACAGGTGATTTGTTAAGTTTGAGGGGGAGCTAAACCACAAGTCCTATAAGACTAGAGTGGTTCTGAACAGGTGCAAGTTCTTCCAGCACAGTTGCAACCTTGGAAGAGAGACATGAATAATAGAATGTGTACTTGCAAAGTACACAACAAACAAACTGATACAGAAACAACAAAGACTAAGACTATGCCTCACACTAGAGGACTTTGAGACGAATGATGAGAGCTAAAATCAATGGGTGAACTATCTGAATTCCCCCTGTATCTAGTACATGAGTAGCTGTATTTATAGTTTTCTGAGTTCCAGAAAAAGCATAGTACTAACAGGGAAATGTCCTGGTTGAACAAAAGAAAAATAACAAAATATGTAAGAACAAATGAGAGAACCTTTTGCTAGAGGTTAGAAGAAAATAGGGTGAAAAATGTATGAAGAAAATTTAAGTGGTCTGCATTCTAGCTACAGGAAATGTTATACAAAAGGAAAAGTAAGATTTATATTAAAAGAAGTAGAAGGTTCTCATACTGTTACTATCTGATTGGTGCAGACAAAGTGTGGAGAGTTCTGAGATTTCTGACTGTCTCCTGAGATCATCACTTTGATTGCCCTAATGTTCTATCTGATTGGAAGATTACAGTACTTTGATCCAGACAATAATAATGTAATAGTTTGCTGAGCCACTTACTGTGACACAACTTGTGTTCTGAGCCTGTAATAAGTACATGATCTGTATGTCCTGTAAGGTAAGTAGTGTGTGTAAGTCTATTCTGAGACTGTACACGTTTACAGTTCTGTTTGCTAACACTTACAATACAGAATAGTTAGGTGTTCTTAGAATATGCTTCTATAAGTTATGTGGATGTTCAGAATTGATTACTATGATTGTCTACATGTGATGTACAGTTCTTAGTATGATGCTGATTGTTTCACTACTCTAAAAGTGTGACAACTCAAAATTGATTAGCAGCTATAACATTATCACTCAAAACATTAGACTAATAACACATTAGTAGAGTTATAGTCTGTTACATTCACTAAATACTTTTTTTCTTCTTTATTTCCTCATTCCTTAACATCTCTACTTCTATAATAAAGTTTGCTAAATCTAAATCACTACAAAGAAGAGAGGAAAAAGAAAAAAAAGAAAAAAATATTATTACTACTATAAAGATGTATCAGACTAAGCTTGTTAGTAACAGTATAGAGGGGATCTGAAGGCTCAGTAAGGGGACCCAGGCTACAACTATTCTACACAACAGAGATACTAAGATGCTAGTACTAGGATGTAAGTATTAGAGTAAGTAGAGCTCATAGTTCAGACATAAGAGTAGAGTAAGGTAAGAGTAAGGTATATAGAGTAAGCCTAAGAGTATAGGACTACCTAGAGTAGATAAGATCAAGACTATAGGACTAGTCTAATCTTGTACAAGTATATATACTAAACTATA